TGAATATGGTGTGCATGGTGTGTACATGTATATAATTTTCTGTCTTTTTCTATTTACCTCATTCTATTTTGATTTAACTATTAATAATGGTGTAAAGAGTTTCAAAATTTGAAAAAATTAAGATACTGCAGAGGATACAGCAGTATAAAATTGGCCAGCAGCAGGATCAGAGAATCAGAGATTATAGGCCTAACCTGTGTATGCCTAAATTGTATTTTATCTATGGGGAGAACGGGTGTAAGGAGAATGTGAGATCACTTAGGTATACACTAATTTCTTTCAAATAATGCAAAAATAAAAAAGCTCCTCCAATAGACTGTCAGCAATGACTGTCTGATGTGCTCTAATCACCCCAAACTTAAATCTATAATGTAAAAAAAAAAAGAGAAAATCCCTAATTAACAGAAAAATTAGCTAAGGTGCTATTTAATAGCTACGTAAGTTGGAGAGCTAGCTATCAATCAGTTATGCAGACTTGTGTTGCTTATTAAAAGGACTTTGGGTGTACAGATATGTGTAAATAGGCAGGACATAACTAGAACTAGTTTGTCAAATAGATAAAAAAAAAACAACTGCTAAAATGTCATGTAAACGTTAACAGCTGGTGATAGTAATACAAAGGTCCTTGGTTAGGGTGACAGTGGTCTGCTCATGTCTCCAAATATCTCTTGCCTGCAAAACACCCTGTAACATACAGATTAAATACGCCTTTTTAATGTACTGTTCAGGAAAATTATACTGTTTATATAAAAAAAGTTATTTAGGAAAAATTGCAGGCAATAATTAGAAAATATGCCCTGTGAAAAAAAAACACATGCACAATGTTATCAGTGAAGTGCATGTTCACAGAAACAGGCTGTGAAAAAAATAAATTGCAGCCTGAAAAACTTTGGAAATATGCATTGTGATGAAAGCAGCAATGTATATGGATAGGAACAATGTAAAAAAATCTGTCAAAAAAAGAGGGATGTGCACTTTTAAAAAACATTTTTTAGCCTGTTATGACTGCACATCAGAAAAAGCTGTAAAAACTGCAGGACATTCATCAGCAGCATTAGAATATAAAAATCTTCCTCTCCTCACCTAAAATCATCAAGATGTACAAAAACTTGCTACCCAAAGGGCATTCAATAGAGTTTACATTTACATTAACCACTTGCCCTCTAGAGGATTTACCCCCCTTAATGACCAGGCCTCTTTTTGCTACTAGACGCTGCACTAATTTAACTGATAATTGCGCGGTCATGCAATGCTGTACCCAAACGTAATTTACGTCCTTTTTTTCACACAAATAGAGCTTTCTTTTGGTGGTATTTGATCACCTGTGCACTTTTTAATTTTCGTGCTATAAACAAAAAAAGATTTTTTACTTTCGGCTATAAAAAATATATAGTAAACTCAAAGTTAGTTATAAATTTAGGTCAAAATATATTCTGCTACATGTTTTTGGTAAAGAAAATCCCAATAAGTGTATATTGATTGCTTTGTGTGAAAGTTATAGCATCTACAAACTATGGTATAGATACTGCAATTTACACAATTTTTTTGCTATACAGCGCTGCGCTAGTTTAATTGACAATTGCGGTCATGCAATACAGTACATAAATGAAATTTATGTCCTTTTTCACACCAATAGAGCTTTCTTTTGGTGGTATTTGATCACCTGTGCACTTTTTATTTTTGGAGCTATAAACAAAAAAAGTTTTGAGAAAAAAACTATATTTTCTCATTTCTGTCATAAAAAATATAAAAAAAAAACCCCTAAAATTTTGTCAGAAATTTAGGCCAAAATGTATTCTGCTACATGTTTTGGTTAAAAAAATACCAATAAGTGTATATTTATTGCTTTGTGTGTGATAGTTATAGCATCTACAAACTATGGTATAGATAATGGAATTTACACAGCTTTTACTTTCTGACTGCCCATCACATTTCTTGAGGTGCTAAAATACCAGGATAGTACAAACCCCCAAATGACCCCTTTTCGGAAAGTATACACCCTAAGCTATCTGCTGAGAGGGATATTGAGTCCATGGAAGATTTATTTTTTTTTTCACAAGTTTCTGGAAAATGACAAAAACTTTTTTTTTCACACAAAGTTGTCATTTCAATGATACATTCTCTTACCTTATTTTAATGGTGTCTGGAGGATTGTTGGCTAATTAGCCTTTATATTAAAATTTATTATACAGCTGTATAATTGTTTACACTGTGGTTGGTTCTCTTTATATAGCCTCTTCCTAAGTGGGCCCTCTTGGTCTAAACTTTCTGGAGTTGAACTTGGTTATTGAGAACCCCACCTTTTAATGTTGGTGAGTCAGTGATCTACTTTCAATCTTGAGGTTGTTCCCCCCTTGGGGTGAGTAAGATTCCTGCATTAGTCTTTTAACCAATTTATATAAGGTCAGAACTAAGACAGGAAACAAAAGGAGCAGGGAGCAAGGTACTAGGAGAGATGGATGCAGGGTACAGGGAGCAGGTCACAGGAATAGGTCTCAGAGTCAGGTGCAGGTACAGGTACAGCATAAAGGATCAGTTCAATGCTAGGAACAACAGTGCCACCAGCAGGTGACCCAAGTAATGACCCAGTAAGGTCCTGATAGGCAGCTCCCTTTACTTTGTATTCACACCTTTTAACCACTTGGCAACCACGCTATAGCCAAATGACGGCTAGAGCATGGTTTTCCAGAGCATCAATGACATCCTCCCAGAATGTGCCCTACCGCGAGTCCCCAGCAGCATGCACCTGGCATTCTCCATGATCGCTGTGTCCTATAGACATGGCTGATCACGTGATGTGGTAAAAAGCCAATCACATCGGCCTTTTACCAAGTGATCAACTGTGTCCAATCACATAGCAGATCACAATGTAAATACAGTTGTTGATAACCGGCAATTGTCAGACAACAGATCTACCCTGATCATCAGTTCCCTGATGTTCAGTGCTGCCCATCAGTGCCACCCACCAGTGCCCATCAGTGCCTCCTACCAGTGCCCATCAGTGCCTCCCACCAGTGGCCATCAGTTGCCAGCAGTACCTCCCACCAGTGCCCATCAATGCCCAGAAGTGCCCCCCATCAGCGCCCAGCAGTGACCCCCATCAGTGCCACCCACCAGTGCTGCCCATCAGTGCCGTCCTGCAGTGTTGCCCAGCAGTTCCCAGCAGTACCGCCAGTCAGTGCCGTCAGTGCCAACAATCATTGCCGCCAGTCAGTGCTGTCAGTCAGTTCCGCCAATAAGTGTCACCCATCAGTGTCCATCAGTGCCGCCTATCAGTGCCCATCAGTGCTGCCTAGCAGTACCCATCAGTGCTGCCTAGTAGTGCAGCCTCATCAACGCACATCAGTGAAGGAGAAAATTTACCTGTTTTGCAAAATTGTTTAATAGAAACAAACTTTTTTTTCCTCAAATTCTTTGTTCTTTTTTTGTTTATAATGCAAAAAATTAAAAGCAATGATTAACCACTACAGGGCACTTATACCCCCTTCCTGCCCAGGCCAATTTTCAGCTTTCAGCGCTGTCATGCTTTGAATGACAATTTCACCGTCATGCAACACTGTACCCATATGAAATTTTTATACTTTTTTTTGAGACAGATAGAGCTTTCTTTTGGTGGTATTTAATCACCTCTGGGTTTTTTATTTTTTACTAAACAAACCAAAAAGTACTGCACCTACATATATGGTGGGACTGTCCGCTACTACTGCCCTTTTGGAGAAAAGTGCGAACTTAATCTCACAAATAACCACGTACAATCTAGACTTCACCCCTGCACAATTTTTACTCCATCATTCCTCACTTCCTTTTCGGACTTATCATAAGTCTTTTGCCTTACACATGATAAACGCGGCAAAACAATGTGTCCCTGTTCACTGGCGATCAAAACAAGTTCCCACTGTGCGGGAGTGGTTTATTAGGGTCATCAGGATTGCGGAGATGGAGGAGCTGATTTCAGTGGCAAAAGAACACCCCGAGAGATTCAGGAAGACTTGGGCGTGTTGGAAACATTTTCAAACCACCAGTACTTATCGTCTTTCTATGAATGAATAAGACAGGATCCAAGAACACAAAAACCTTTTGAGCTCTCACCTCTAGAATTGCTCCATAGACTGAATCTACCCGGACTATATCTTACATAAAGGTATACGCTAAGTTACCATAAATAATGCTCCATGATACGATGGATTGACAACCAATATTTATTATTTGATCCACCCCCCCCCCCCCCCCTTTTTTTTTTTTTTTTTTTTTTTTTTTTTCTCCCTCCCTCCCCTTCTTTTCCCTTCCTACTTTTCTTCACACCTTTCTCTTCTACAAGTAACTACATCTTTTATGAGGGACAGAGTGTCCTCTCACATATAGGTATGATTGTCTTCCACAATAAGAACCATACATTCCCCGGTTACGGATACAGAAGAACTGCACGATTTCAAATGATATATTGTACCACGCTTCATAGTCCCATTATTTGAGTAATCCCTACTCATTTAGAACAGCATCCTCTATAACTCTCCAGACTACCTATCATACTCAGTGCTTTAATTGGTCTAGTTCACTCATTTACTATAATGTGATCTTTTGTATCAGGGTAATTTATACTTCAAATAAACAACTTATGACCCGTCTGCGCTACGGGAGATTATGACAGATGTTTATGCGTGGACTGTGTTCCGTATCCGTATATGACTTGTTATGCCTTTCTTATTTCAAAATAAAATAAAAACTTTTTTTGGAAAAAAAAAAAAAACCAAAAAGTACTGAAAAATTTGAAAAAAAAAAGTTTTTTTCTTAGTTTTTTGTTATAAACTTTTGTAAATAAGTCATTTTTCTCCATTACTGATGTGCGCTAATGAAGCTGCAGTGATGGGCACTGATAGGCTGCACTGATGGGTACTGATAGGTGGCACTGATGGGCATTGATGAGGAGGCACTAGTAGGTGGTACTGATGGGCATTGGCAGGCATCACTGATAGGCACTGAAAGGCAGCACTCATATATGGCACTGATAGGCGGCACTGATAGGTGGCACTGACTGGCACTGATAGGCGGCACTGACCGGCACTGTTAGGTGGCACTGACTGGCACTGTTAGGTGGCACTGATAGGTGGCACTGATGCGCACTGATCGGTGGCACTGACTGGCATTGATAGGTAGCACTGACTGGCACTGATAGGTGGCACTGAAAGGCAGCTCAGATGGCACTGATATGTGGCATTGATGTGCACTGGTAGGCACTGATATGTGGCATTGATGTGGCACTGATGGGCACTGGCAAGTGGCATTGATGAGCAGTGACAGCTGGCATTGATGGAAACTGACAGGTGGCACTGCTGGGGCTACACTGATTATCAGGGCACACTGATCATCAGTGCCCTGATGATCAGTGTACATGTCCCCTCTGAGGGATGACGATTACCGGCTCTCCACTCCTCACAAGCTGTCAGCGTGACAGGTTGTGAGGAGAGAAATACCGGCATTTCCCTATTTACATGCGATCAGCTGTGATTGGACACAGCTGATCACATGACCAAGCCGACGTCTTCAGCTCTTTCTGTTGATCAGTGATCTGCTGTGTCCAAGGGACACAGCGCACCACTGATCGCCTCACTGAGCGCAAACAGATCCGCGCATGCGCTGTTAGAGTGGGAGGACTTCATATTATGTCCTCTCAGAACAAGAGAACTGCCTTGCACCCCTCATTACCTTATATGGCGGGCGGTAGGCAGTTAAATACCACCAAACAAAACTCTATTTGTGTGAAAAAAATTATAACAATTTCATATGGGTACAGTGTTGCATGATCGTGTAATTGTCATTCAAAAGTGTGACAGTGCTGAAAGCTGAAATTAGGCCTGGCACAAATGGGGTATAAGTGCCTGGTAGGCAAGTGGTTAAGGAACTTCAATCTTTGCTTCCAGAGGGATTTGAATTCTTAATCTTCACTAACCTGGACCCCGTTAAGCACGCAGAAGACCTTATACTGCTTTTGAAAGGCATATTAACCTTTTCAATCTAAAAGTTCTTTTCTTTGCCTCAGAATTGAATTGACATCAGTCAGAGCCCAAATTGAGTTAGCCACATTGTTTGGTAATTTCTTTGTTTACTGAGGGAAGTAGCATCTCAGTCTGGGGCTATTGGTCAAATTCTGACATCTAGAACTGATTTAGATTTTGCTGTATGTTGACCTTTTCTTGACATTGCTAAGGGCTCATTCACACTTGACTAATTTTTAACTCTTGTCAAACGCCCCTATAGTGTTTGACAGGCGTTGGACAGGTGTTTGGGAAGCATTTTAAATGCTCCTCAAATGCTCCCCAAATGCCCTATGCACATTTTTGAGACATTTGATAGGCATTTTCCAAGCGTTAAAACCGCACCACAAATGCCTATAATGAAGTTTAATGGTATTAACGCTCAGCAAATGATTGCATAGCCTCGCAAACGCCTGCCAGGTGTTTGAGGAGCATCACCATAGACTTGAATGGGAGGCTTCAACTTCTTCTGACTACATGAGGTGTCAATTTTGCCATGACTCTAATGCTTCAGTGTGAACTGCACTGTGTGCTGCCATGTGTAGAATTTTCATAGGCGTTTGAGGAGCGTTAAAAACACTTCCCAAACGCCTGTCTAATGCCTGCTAACAAAGCTAGTGTGAACTTAGCCAAAGAGTGATAGCTGCTATTATATGCGCATGTTTTCCTTACGTTGCTTTATTGTGTTCTCATTTGATCTCAATATAATCAAAATAAACTGTGTGAGTCTATTTTCTGGTGTCAGAGGATTTCTTTGGCAAGAAGTTGGTGCAGGGGCGGACTGACAACTCATGGGGCCCCCGGGCAATAGGGGATCATAGGGCCCCTGTGTCCTTGCCCTAACTCAAAAAAGCCTATGAAAAAGGTACCAGGGGCATCTCATGGGGCCCCCTACTGACCCCGGGCCCTCAGGCAGTGCCCGAGTTTCCAAATGGTCAGTCCACCCCTGTGGTGGTGCTAGCAGGAGTTGGGCATTCAGAGAGGGGTCAGACAAGACAGGGAATCCAACAATTACCTGGGGGCCCCTAATGGGGTAGTGCTATATATTGTAGAAGATTACGAGGCAAGACCATCTTGAAGGCCCTGTATGCTTATTGGCACTATGGATTCCACTAATATGGTACTTCCTGTTCGCAGGGATGCACTTCCAGTCCAATGGAGCAACTCTGCTGCAGCTTCCTCCACTCTTACCTTCCAGGGAGTATGGATCTTATTATAGAGTGCGCCTCAGGCAAGAGTCCCACCGTGGTTTAGATATGCTGTTCATCCACTGAACACTGCAGAAACTAGTGTAAGTGCCATTCATGATTGCTGCTTTTATGTGGATACAATTTACTCACTGTGGACTTTGTTTTTAACCCCTTATGACTCAATAAAGCGTCCATTAGATTTTATATGGGATTGGCATCTGGCCACATTAAAGCAACAACACCCTAGGAGTGTTTATTGCTTGGGCTTGTAGTTGAGCATTATGTTTGCCATTAGAATTAGTCGATAATTGGCACTCACAGCCACGTAATTTTTAAAGTCATCAGTACTATCATCTGGGCTGTTTATTAGGACACCATACAGTCATGGCCAAAAAGTATTGGCACCCCAGCATTTCGGTCAGACAATGCACCACTTCACCTAGAAAATTGTATCAATTACAAATGTTTAGGCATTCTCAGGTTTTTTTCTTTTGTTTGTATTGCTATGACAAAAAAAAATGTGGAGAAACAAAAGGCCAAATCTGACACATTCTGAGCAAAACCCCAAAAACCCCTTCATCAGAGCTCTGATGAAGAAGGGATGCCCTTTGAAACGCGTCAGCTGTACTCGGAGTGTCTTACATGCTTGATTTACTTCGCTGTTTGTGAGTATCATTTTGTATTCAATACATTTTGGTTACTGAGGTAATGCGCAAGGTTGGTGCGCTTCTCATTTTTGTTGCGTTATGCACAGTCAAGACATCCAGTGCCTGAAGCAGCAAAGCAAACCCCCAAACATCAGTGAACCTCCACCATGTTTGACTGTAGGGACTATATTCTTTTCTTTAACCGCTTGCCGCCCTGCCACTGTGTATATACGTGTGCAGGGCGGCAGTGGAGAGCGCAAAACCACGTTTAAAAACGTGTTCCGCGCTCCCGACACTTTCGCCGGCAGGGGGCGCACGCGCGCGCTCCCGCCGACCCGCGGGTGACACTATTTGATCCAGGAGGGATCAATCATTAGATTTCAGCCAGTGATTTCTGGCTGAAATCACATGATCGGTCCCTGTCCTATCCTGTCCTGTGTTGACATACACACAGGGCAGGATATGATGTCATTCTTCTCTGCCTGGACACATTCCGTTCCAGACAGAGAAGAAGACATCCAAAAAGTGAGTACACAAGCACTACACTACAGTTAGAACACTCTAGGACACATTTTAACCCCCTGATCGCCCCCCCCCCCCTCCAGTTAACCCTTCACTGCCCTGTCACCAGTGTTACTGATCAGTGAAGCGATTTTTACTGATCAGTGTCGCTGGCGACTTCCGATAGAGTTAGTGCCCCTCCCAGATAGCGCCAGATTGCCCGCCAGTACACCAGTAATCCCGTTTTAACCCCTTGATCGCCCCCCCCCCTCCAGTTAAACCCTTCACTGCCCTGTCACCCAGTGTCACTGATCAGTGAACCAATTTTTTACTGATCACTGTATCAGTGTCGCTGGCGACTTCCGATAGAGTTAGCGCCCCTCCCAGATAGCGCCAGTTTGCCCGCCAGTACACCAGTAATCCCGTTTAACCCCTTGATCGCCCCCCCCCCTCCAGTTAACCCCTTCACTGCCCTGTCACCCAGTGTCACTGATCAGTGAACCAATTTTTACTGATCACTGTATCAGTGTCGCTGGCGAATTCCGATAGAGTTAGCGCCCCTCCCAGATAGCGCCAGATTGCCCGCCAGTACACCAGTAATCCCGTTTAACCCCTTGATCGCCCCCCCCCCCCCAGTTAAACCCTTCACTGCCCTGTCACCCAGTGTCACTGATCAGTGAACCAATTTTTACTGATCACTGTATCAGTGTCGCTGGCGACTTCCGATAGAGTTAGCGCCCCCTCCCAGATAGCGCCAGATTGCCCGCCAGTACACCAGTAATCCCGTTTAACCCCTTGATCGCCCCCCCCCCCCAGTTAAACCCTTCACTGCCCTGTCACCCAGTGTCACTGATCAGTGAACCAATTTTTACTGATCACTGTATCAGTGTCGCTGGCGACTTCCGATAGAGTTAGCGCCCCTCCCAGATAGCGCCAGTTTGCCCGCCAGTACACCAGTAATCCCGTTTAAACCCCTTGATCGCCCCCACCCCCCCCCCCCCAGTTAACCCCTGCACTGCCCTGTCACCAGTGTCACTGATCAGTGAACCAATTTTTACTGATCACTGTATCAGTGTCGCTGGCGACTTCCGATAGAGTTAGCGCCCCTCCCAGATAGCGCCAGATTGCCCGCCAGTACACCAGTAATCCCGTTTTAAACCCCTTGATCACCCCCCCCTCCAGTTAACCCTTCACTGCCCTGTCACCAGTGTCACTGATCAGTGAACCAATTTTTACTGATCACTGTATCAGTGTCGCTGGCGACTTCCGATAGAGTTAGCGCCCCTCCCAGATAGCGCCAGCTTGCTGCCAGTACACCAGTAATCCCGTTTAAACCCCTTGATCGCCCCCCCCCCCCAGTTAACCCCTTCACTGCCCTGTCACCAGTGTCACTGATCAGTGAACCAATTTTTACTGATCACTGTATCAGTGTCGCTGGCGACTTCCGATAGTGTTAGCGCCCCTCCCAGATAGGGCCAGTTTGCCCGCCAGTACACCAGTAATCCCGTTTAACCCCTTGAATCACCCCCCCCCCCAGTTTTAACCCCTTCACTGCCCTGTCACCAGTGTCACTGATCAGTGAACCAATTTTTACTGATCACTGTATCAGTGTCGCTGGCGACTTCCGATAGTGTTAGCGCCCCTCCCAGATAGCGCCAGATTGCCCGCTAGTACACCAGTAATCCCATTTAAAACCCCTTAACCCCCCCCCCAGTTAACCCCATTCACTGCCCTGTCACCAGTGTCCCTGATAAGTGAACCGATTTTTTACTGATCACTGTATCAGTGTCGCTGGCGACTTCCGATAGAGTTAGCGCCCCTCCCAGATAGCGCCAGTTTGCCCGCCAGTACACCAGTAATCCCGTTTAACCCCTTGAATCGCCCCCCCCCCCCCTCCAGTTAACCCCTTCACTGCCCTGTCACCCAGTGTCACTGATCAGTGAACCAATTTTTTACTGATCACTGTATCAGTGTCGCTGGCGAATTCCGATAGAGTTAGCGCCCCTCCCAGATAGCGCCAGATTGCCCGCCAGTACACCAGTAATCCCGTTTAACCCCTTGATCGCCCCCCCCCCCCCCCCCCCAGTTAAACCCTTCACTGCCCTGTCACCCAGTGTCACTGATCAGTGAACCAATTTTTACTGATCACTGTATCAGTGTCGCTGGCGACTTCCGATAGAGTTAGCGCCCCTCCCAGATAGCGCCAGTTTTTGCCCGCCAGTACACCAGTAATCCCGTTTAACCCCTTGATCGCCCCCACCCCCCCCCCCAGTTTAAC